TGTCCATCTTTTAAAGCAATGCCTAATTTTATATGCAGTTTTTCACTTGTCTAGACTATAATTTTGAAGAAATCATTTATAGATATGAAGAGATTATAAGCATATCCAAACCAGAATTAATCAAACAACAAGCGGCCTCTCTTTAACATTTATCTTTTTACTTCGACCTACGAAAACTGACAGTAATGAAAATAGCAGTACTACAGTTTAAAAGATATTTAAAAAAAACTTTTCCAAGCCACACCCTTCCAGCAATAAACGCCTCATCTCAAAAACATCTCACCTTGCCCTTGAGATGTCTTACGTACAAGAACTCATATCACCATCTCTTTCTTCCTCCTCGCTTTGGTTTAGGAAGCTCAGCCTTTGACGGGGAGATAAAACGTGGAAATCCCCCCCCTCTAAAAATGACCAAACACGTAATTAAATTGACTTCTTTTATCTTTTTTAATTCGTCTCCCGACTGGCGTTTCTTCACGACATCTCTGAGGCTGCCGAGATTTCTGACATCTGAAGGGTTTATTATATACGGGTTACGTTCCGGTATTTTGTTCATGATACTTTAAATTGTGCTCTGGTATTGTGATTGGGATTCGGTTTAGCATTTTATAACACTATAAATTGACTTATTAGTTATATTTATTTCGTAAACGCTGCTGTTGATAGTTTTAAAGATTAAAAAACGCCAATTTGATACTTGGATATAAGCTCTTTAGGCCAAGGCCATTAATTTAACTGCGGTTTTCTCTAATACTCTTATTACTAGAAAATATTTCTTGGATATAGTTGAGAACACAACTGGTATATATAATAACGATTATCATTTATCGATATATGATATAAAAGTAGAGAGAAATAAAGGAAAGAAACCCAGAATAAGGTAAACCCCCCCGGTGAGAACAACCCTCAGCCACAACACAGCTCTAGCCAAAACATCGCGTCCGTCTCAAGGGGAGAATTTCACGCCATGGCCTCCCTTCTCGCGGCGACTCGGCTTCCCTCGGTGTTGGGGGCAGTGGGAGGATGTCTCAGTGCCTGTCGTACGCTATTCACACGGCCTCAGTTCCCTGGTAGCGCCGCCCTCACGCCCGTACCGGCGCCCGTGTTCGGCGTGGGCGGGGGCGCTGGGAGTACCTTGCTGGCGCCCTGTCTCGGTCTCCTAGGTAATTGTCCTTTCGTTTCGTGGGTTTAGTGTCGTAGATTTAGAGTGTGAAGTCCATTTGCTCTGTCGTTTCCGTGTATTAGTTGCCTTGATAGTGAAGGATTTATGAAAGTTCAATGATACCTTTTTTTTTTCTTGAGTCTTTCAAGAAGCACACAGGTGTCTAGTCATACTTAACCTATACCCTTAAAAGTGTTGATGTTACCGAGGGTGACGTACGTAGATAGGGGGAAATGGACACCGCTATCATGTAGAGCATAAGAAATACGAGTCATAATTAACCCCATACCAATGGGCCATACACCGAGGCATCATAATAAACCGCTTGATCTGTGAAGTGCAGCTGTACACCATGGTGATGCGGCCAAGCGCTACGAGCTGGGGGTTTGGTTTGATGTAGGGTGTAGACTTTTTAATAAGTTTTCTTAACCTGTCAGTAAGGGGTTAACGCAGGTAAAGCAGCTTCTGCCTTATATTTACCGTGAAATGATAAAAATATCCGCTGCATGTCACTGCTCAGAGACTAAGCCCACCATATCCTCACACAGCCAGAGTTCTTACTGTTGCATTTTCTATAAGTTGGCCTGAAGTGCTAATAAAGGGGATTCAGGGAGGGGGGGGGGGCTTGATTTTCTGTAAAGGGAAAAAATGGAAAGGAGGAAAGGCTAGGTTTGGATTTTTGTATTTAGGTTTGTGCAAATAAACATTTTGATAGAGGAAATATATAAAAAATCTGGTTGCGGGAGAATCTCTGGAGGCTGCATTGCTCTCGTTAACAAATCCCAAACTAGGACCAGTGAGAGCTAAAACTGATTATTTTTCTAAGACATGTTTACACCTCAAAACCCATCAAATTGGGGTATTACTGATATATAGTGTACATTTAGTGTTTAGTCAGCCTTGTGCACCAATAGCAACAATACAAGAGGGAGGACAGGAGGTATTATCAGGAATTGTGGTATTAGATTATGTGGTTTGGCCATTGTCAAGGCACTGCATTTCTTATACCCCAAACATGAAGTGCTAAATCTCCATTGCCTCTAAACAACAAAATATAGTTTGGATAGGTCTGAGTGATGGGCCTCATGCCTGACATCAACCAAGCTGGATGTTTTAGAGGCTCACAATAGGCTTATTTATTAATTCCATCTGTTATCCTGGCTATAAATGTTTGGTCGACATTGAGAGGAGATCATTAACCAAATTTGATGGCTTTTAAGATGTGGATATGTTCTAGAAAATTCCTGTAAGTGTTTTGTGGTCCTGATCAACCCTTTATGGGCAACACAAATCTTTCTAGGCCCTTCCAAGATCATGGTTTAGTTTTTTGATTTCCCTGACTCTGACAAAGGTCTCAAATAATTTTTCTGTTAAGTTATTGCAATTTCAAGACTAATTAGTCATGTTGCTGACTGATCCATATTAAATCATTGTCATTTTCAGAATGAATTAGCTATTACTAAAAGAAAAAAAAGAAACCCCCCCAAAAAAACTCTCAAGCTTTACATATGTACTATGGCCAGCAGTTAACCCATTGGTTTTGAATAGTTGTCCAGTGTAGTTTTGCTTGGTGAATTTTGTTTACACACAAATGTTCCTGTAAGCCCCTAGTCACTAAAGAGTCATTTAGTATGCCCATCTGACCTCGCCTAAACTGTTGGGTCCAGGTGCCTCACTGCCCACATGTGGCCCAAAATCTGGGCACTAGGCATACTTGAATGTTGATTCTCCTGGGTGCATGGATTGTAGACCCAACCCATATGAACACTTATGTGTGGTGAATCCATCAGATACAACAAAGAGGGTTCTATATTTACTTTGTCCAGTTAAAGGTCATTTGAAATTTATCTGCCTAATTGATCATATTGGGCAGTGCAGGATGGCAATTGAAATGGGTCTTTTGTCACAATTGGCTAAGCTGTATCCAAATCTACACAAAACTTTCTGTACCTTTAGTGCTCTGGCAAGTCAAATTTTGATTGGTTCCTTATTATAACATAAAGTTAGTGGGTAGACTTTTATCTTAACAAAATATATATGTTAGAGACTGATTGGCATTTGCTGGAAAACGGAGAAGTGCAGAGAACAATGTAGGTGTGCAAGTTTAGCAAGTATATTAGAGAGATTAAGAACTATGAGAGAGTCACTCTGACCCTCTCTCTCCCTCTCCCTTTCTTTCCTTTTCCTGCTCACTGCATCTCTCTGTCTCCACCTCTTTTCCTTCTCCTTTTTACCTCTGCCTCTCTCTGCAGTACCTGTATCTCTTTGCCTCTCTTGTGTTTCTGCCTCTCTCTAGGGTGCCTGTGTCTCTCTCTTTTTATAGTAGGCCTACCTGTGTTTGCCTTTCTTTACAACACCTGTGTTTCTTTTGCTCTCTTTATGGGATCTTTGACTAAGTCTGTCTTTACAGTACTTGTACCTCCCCCTCCTTCCCTCCCTCCCTAAAAGCTATATATCCAAAAGCAACATTTCACTCTCTGAGGGTTGTGGGTGGGCATGCTACCCTTGAATTCTGAACTCTATATTCTTTCCCCAGGAGCTGTAAGTGGGCGCACAAATGTCAGAAATCACTTCCCCCGCCCCAGCGAAGTCAAGCGCGTCAAGCGACATGGATGGAAGACCCGCATGTCCACTCTGTCTGGGCGGAAAGTATTGATGAGAAGGATCTTGAAGGGAAGACATGTGTATAGCCACTGAGGTGTTGCCATTCTCTGCTGCATATTGCTTGTACATTATTTTTTATGAATGTAAATATATGTTATAATTAGAATGGGTTGTCTTTTTAAAAACCTCATGTTGATAAAATGTTGGTAGTTATACTGTGAGTACTTGAAATTTAGGGGTTCATCGATTCCCCTGATGGCATTTTGGCTATCTTATATATTCTTTATTAATAGACTTGGTATGAAAATGACCATTCTTTATTAATGTACAGAAGAAGAACCATCCAGAATATTTAGTGTTAATTTTCAATGTAAAAGGGAATAACCCTTCATGATTTCTGGTGTTGATTATTATGTGTCAGTAATAATGTGTTTCCTTCGTTTTAATTACTGAATGTAAAAAACTCATTTGATATTGTATTTACATCCCAGAGACTTGACATCAAAATAGGAAAATGAAACAAGATGTAGATACTTTTTTACTGTGACATCTTTTTGAAGAATCCACATATCCAATAGAAAAAAAAACAAAAGTAAAATTTTTGAAAGCTGATTATATGGTAATGAACATTGAGACTTTACATGTTATTTCCAAATTGCAAATGTTGATGCTAATACAAAGGAAATCTAACTAGAAGAGCTGTGTCCTGCACACCTATTATGGTAACAGTTTACTAACATGAACAAGAACATACATGCACACATTTTCCAAAAACACACACATAAAATGCATATGTGTGCATGCTGTATGTGTGATTAAAATTACAGTGGACATTCACCATACATTTATACGTTCATGTTTGTGTGAAGGTGTGTGTGTATGCGTGTCGTGTGCATGTGCAAGTGTCTGTGCATGTGTGCGTGCGTGTATGTATATATATATATTATTGTGTGTGCATGTGTTGCTGTGATACAGATGCACATCCATCCACCCACATACGTACACATGTACACATACTTAATTTTATTGACAGATGAATAAAAAAAAAAAAACACCTTATCATCTATACATCTACTTATACTTTTCAGTTGTATATTTCATCTAAAGTCGCATTGTCATAATTATAACATCAAAATCCTACATGAGGTATGTAATCACACTTAAAACACTGCCCATTGAGAAGCAATACCTTCTCCATTCCGTGTGTGGGGAAAATTTCTACATAATAACTATGCCATTGATACCTTTACACATACACCAAATATCTATCCAACTCTGGCCACGTATGAAAGAAAAAGGAGCACTGGACGAAATTGCACTTAATAAAAAAAAGGCCCCATCACTGATAATTAATTGACTCAAAACCTGTTTATTTCTAAGACCGGCTTTTGGCACTGGTAGATTTTAGGATTCCATTATCCATAGACTTGTATCTCGAACTTTACTTTGTATGAAAAATAATAATAACTCGGTGTTCAGTAATAGATATAAATGCATTGTTCCAGGTACTCATTGTACTGGGAATGAGAGTTACATTTGCTCACTTCCTGTAATGATAATAGTATGGTTTATGGTATTACATTTTGTTGATACTAATGCTTGGTTGCGTATCTTTAGTTACTGACTGTTACTGCTGCTTAATTATGAAATAGGCATTACAGATTCACCTATTTTAGTAAGCGTTGTCGAATACATAATATAGCGTTACACCTAATTCAGTAACTAGTAAGTAA